CACTTACTCAGTTCCAGCAACAATGCACTTCTAACTGGTCCTTGACCACAAACATTTGCCTGCTTCAGGGTTTTTATGCTTTCTCTCATCTCCCCCATTATTAATAGTATATAGTATATAGTATAGATTCAGAGCTCTGTTCAAAGAGGCTTTGCAGACCTCCTGTAATGGTACAAATCCAACCAAAACCAGGAATGACTACATAATTTAAGTGGAAGGAATTTAATACAGGGAACTAGTAACTTAGGTGAGGGAAGAACTGAAGTTAAAAGACCATGAGGAAATCCAGAGAATAGAAAGAAGCTACTACCATCACAGGGGCTTGATGGGGCACCAGGCTACCAGACCCCATAAACAAGGGCCATATGGCAGGAGATAAAACCACTACTGAAGCATCATTAAAATGATGATACATTCCCCACCCCAACAAAAAGTTTGACCTGTTTTCTGCCACTCTCTGAATTCCCACCTTTTCCCCCTTCTCCCTCAATGCAATCATCTAAAATAAGTAAATAACCTCAGCCTGACAACCACTAGGTAGTATGTATTAAAACAAAATAGTATCATTCAGATGTAGATTTCTAAACCATGCCTTTTTTTCTCAATCACATAAAAATGCAAGTCCTCCTATAGCCTATAGTGTCCAATGCCTTGCTTACCTCTCCGATCTATTTCCTACTATTCTCTCCCTCTCCATCTCTATTCCAGCCCCACTGGCCTCCTTGTTGTTCCTTGAGTATCCAAACTTATTCCCACCTCAGGGACTTTGCACTTACTCTTTCCTTAGTCTAAATACACTTCTTCCTGAAATCCACCTGACATCCCCTCATCTCCTTGTATGTAACTAAACACCCGGTCTAAACAGCACTCCCACCCTTGATCATTCTTACTCCCTTACCTTTATTTTTCTTCATAGCATTTATCACTATCTAACATATTATACCTTGTTTTTTATTGTTGTTGTTGTTTATTGGAGATCTCTACTGACTAGAATACAGTCTCTAGGAGAGCAGAGACCTTGTCTGTTTTGGCCAATTCTGTATCTCCAGACACAATGCAGTGTCTGGTATACAGTAGGTATTTAATAACTATTTAATTATTAGCCTAAATAACAAAGAGATTAAATGTTATCTTCCACAAATGTCTAACCATGTTAATTTGCTAGTCAAAGCAACAAAAACAACAACAAAGAGTATTTCTAGTCACTCCTTTGTAGATGTAGCAATTGAAAACTCATATTTATTATGGGCTTAAGCTAAACCTTACACTATGTGAACATGCATTATGTAAAACCCAGATATTTCATATATCCAAGTATGATTTGTGCTGTTCAAAAAAGCCAGTTTGCTCAAACTTATTTTGGATCTGCTTTTTGGGCATGTCCTCCAAAATAGGGTTGGTATTCAAGAAGAGTATTTTTAATTTTTTGCTTTTTTTTACAGCCACCAAAAGCCATTCACAGATACATGTGGTATAAGGTGGATGCCACAATTGTTCTAAAACACGTTCTCAGAAAATAATAACATTATTATAATTTGTGTGGTCATAATCTAACTTGTGGAGAGTTCCCCAAATGAAAAAAAATACCTTAAATGCATTACACATATTCTGTTTTAATCTTTTCATAAACAATCAGCTAGATGAAGTATAATATATACCTGGATAATTTGGTGGGGACATAGAAATAAATAGAGAGAGAATTATCAACTCTTTTTTTGGTCTAGTCTTCAACTAAAGTCCTATCTAAGGTTACTTGTACTACGAGTATCAATGTATTATGTATTAAGGCAAATTCATGATGTTATATGGCCCTGTTTAACCACTTTTGATCCTCAAAGTGAACCATATCTTCTGATTATAGCAATACTTTCCAATAGACAATAAATTGATAGAAATTGATACCCCTGATTCAAGGAAAAGCTATTATATGATATATGCAATAAGCCCTCTGTTGCATATTTATCCAGTTGTCAATCCATTAATTATTGACTGGAAAAGAGACAAAATTTTTAGATTAATTTCAATGCAGATATTATGCATATAATGCTTTTGTAGTAAAACTTAACCTCTCTAGAGTAAGTTGCTATTTAGACACTAAAAAAACCAACAGTATAACATTATCTCAGACATTATTCAATAGTAATGACATCTAATGCACAAAATAACAAAACATTTTGGATAGTTAGAATGATAATCAAACCAGTAGGCAATTTGTGACCATGTATTGAAATTGGAAAGTATGACTGATTCTAGAAAAGCAACAAAATATTAATATGATGATAAATCCCCTTGAGTAATTCAGTCTACCCACTCTACCACCATCATTTCAAGGAAAAACCTAAATCGTGTTTGAGGTTTGAAGGGTCTTCCAAACTTAATGAGTCTTTCACATACTTAAGGGGTGCAACAAGAGTCCTGGTTAAAATAAAAAGCTAGACAATAAATCTGAAACTTTGAGGCCTCCTTGCCCTGGGATATGCAGCTGCTTAAATTGCTTCTTGGTCACTTTGCTGCTGGGTATCATTGATTAGTCTTGGAAAGATCATCCATGGGGCAGTATAAAACCTATTCTTTCCACCTGCCCAAGGCAGAACATATTTCAGGGAAGAAAAAGATAACTGTAAAATATCTGTCAGTTTAGAAAGGCAAACCGCTGATACTCAAATTTTAAGCACCCCTTTGGTATTTCCTACCCCTATTGCTCTTAATACTAAGTTTTAATCAATTCTTTTAGACCAAAACCCAACGATCTTAGGAGTAATGTTCCCAGTTTTCCTTCCATAATTATAATTCTATTGTTTTGAGATAGCTAAACCTTTTTTTGAACTGAAGTGCCAGACATTATTTAGTGCAGAATCATTTAGGGGTTTTATGCATGAACGCTTGACATTTTTTTCCAAGTCAACAAATATTTAAAGTCAACAACCACGAAGGTTTATTAATTGAAATGCATCTGACTGGAACTGAACTCTGAATAGAATGATCTTGTTTCTCCCTCAATGGCACAGTACATAAAAAAGGAGGATAAAATTAAAACTAGTAGGTGTTCATAAAAGGAAAGATTGAAATAAATGATGAGGTAATCATTTATTTTAATGAGCTACTGACAACAGAAAATAACTTTATGAAGAAACTCAGTAACAATAGCTAGTAACAATCCATCATGAAGCTTCTCCTTACCGTGATGCATTAAATTATATCTTCACTGTGCTGCTTCCCTTCAGATATAGAGTTTTATCAATTACCATTCATTACTGGTTAATTCTTATTTGATTGGGATTCTTAGCAAAGAAGACCTTTACTTGTTCTACATTTGTCAAATACTGCAAAACAACTATGATTATGTCAACTAGTTCTGGGCTTATCATGAGAATTATTATTTTCATATTACACCAGTGTTTTTCTAACAAGGGGCTACCGTGATCTCTTTTGAGTGCAAGCAAATAAACTATATCTATTGAAGCCTGATTTTTCCTAATTCTGAATAGGTCATAATGCTCAAAGATCTTTTGACTAATCTCATCATTTGCCCATTAAATACTATGTTGTTTATTTTCTCCATTTTCATCAAGTCTCCAATTCCAAGCTGGCTGCCCTTTATATAGATAAAGAATTTACACACTGTAATCTTTAACTGTATGATATAAGCTCTTCAAATGTCTTTCTTTGTAAAATACCCCCTTCTTATTACACAATATCTTGTCTTTTCCTGATTTTTACAGAAATTAGTCCCCACATACCAGTGCTAACTTCTTAAACCTGTGCTTGCAAATCCATTCCTTCTAGTCCTCTTTCCATTCCCACCCCTCCACTGACTCTTCTCCTTTGCCTTCCAGTACCAGTAAGTCTTTCCTTAATTCTAATCCATCCAACTAGCAAATTATTAATACTATTTTTGTTATGATGCTCCAAATCTTTCAAAAGTTCTCTAGCATCTCTAAGTTATTTTAGTATCTTGTCAAGGCATTCAAGATCTGCACTGAGCTGACTCTCAATGTCTTTTCCATAGTACTCCCAAGATAAAATCTTTGCTTCTACTAGGCTGATTGACTCACCTTTCTCAGATATGGTTTATGCATTACCCTCCCTGATTTTTGACAATGCTGTGATTTCTACTAAAATGACCTACTTCCTTCTTCATTTGCCTGATTTTCAAGGTTCAGCTCAAAGTCCCTCTTCTCTGTGAAGCTCCTCTTATAACCCTAGACTACTAATCTACCTTTTTCCAATTTCCTGTTCCTAATTTAGCACTCAATTAGAAAATATTTTTATTTACACTTGCATTCATGTCCAAATCTGCATTCTTTCTTTTGAACAACCAAACTAAACAACTAGCCAACAAGCTAACATTTGATGAGCACTCACTTTTCAGTCACTGTGTTGGACCAGGAGAATAGAAGAATGAATAATATTTCATTTATTTATTCAGAACTCTTAATATAATGCATCTCTCAGGTAATACAAAATTTTTTATTGAATAAATGAGTAACACATCACTAATAGATTTGCTATTAAAAATGACCACTATTCCAAAGATGCTGTGGAGTTGATATATACACATAGGTAATACCACAAAAAAATCATGCAAGAACTGGAAGATTTAAATCTCAATATAAATCCCAATTCCAGGTGTTGATTATTTTGAGAGTAAAACCAACAACCAATTTTAAAATCATATTTTCTAAAAAACACATTTCATTCTTCCCACTATTGCCAGTGCACCTGACAAGTATACAGAAACCAATGATTTGCAAACACAGCAAACAATACATTATTGACAATTATTGATATCCAAGGTATTTGAATTCCAAAAATGCATCCTACAAAAAGAAAATATGACTATCAAAACTATATATGCAAAGAAAGAAAACAAAACAAAAGCTTGAGAACATATACACATTTCCATATATGCTAGTAGTCGTACTACTTAAACACATGCAAACTATTGTATGACCCATTATTCTCAAAGTATGTACCTTAAAGCTCTATGTTCCACATACCTGTCCAGTCTCCTACTATTTTAAGGTGGACCCCAAATGTTGCTTTGGTTTCAGTAGGACACTAAAAAACAAAAACAAAACCCCTGGAATCAATTCTGAGTAATAGTTATGTATTACTAAACTATGATTTAATTACAATTTTCATTCTCATAGCAAGTCCCCCAGATCAATAGAAAATAGAAAGGAATGAACTAAAAATCGATATAGATCCTCATTAGTGGAAGAAAAAAGCAATGTTGACCCGTCGGTAAGTTAGTATACATTTCTTTAAAAACCCATAGGTATTTATATAAAAAAATACACATAGTCTAAAATTGTCAGTATTTCACATTTAACAACAAATATTGCCAAAATGCCTTTTGAGTTAAAATATTTAAGAGGGCAGAGCTTTTAACCATAAAGGAAGAAATGGGACTATTTTTGCTTTTGCTTTCCAGATATTATTATACACTTCACATCTTAACAAATTCCAGGAATAAAGAAAAAAACATTTCCCAACATGACCTGAGTTTTCCATGTCCAACAAGGAAACTCCTACTTAAAAAGTTCTACTTCCTTCCCTCCCTTAATTCTCAGAAAAAATAGTCTGGAGTGAACTGGCAAGGGTAGCTGGAAGAGGAATGAGTGTGGCTATGGAAGTAAGAAAAATATCTGCAGCCCCACATTTACAAAATGTAGAAAACACCCACATCACTAAAATGAGAGAATAATTTTTGGCTCACAATAAGGAAATGCAGAATCTCCTTTTATTTTTCAGAACTCCAATCCCTCATCTGTAATCCCCAGATTCAAACGCTGTGAAAAGTAAGTTTTTTCATAACTCAATTGGTGGCATTTATCGGACTTGAATTTATGGGAGGGTAATGATGGGAGGCTAATACCTCTGTATAAAAATTTATACAGAAGTGTTTTCCTACAGAAGTATCCATTTGTTGGGGCACCTGGGTGGCTCAGTCAGTTAAGAGTCTGCCTTAGGCTCATGTAATGATCCTCGGGTCCTGGGATTGAGTACGGCATAGGGCTCCCTGATCAGTGGGGAGTCTGCTTCTCCCTCTCCTCCCTGTTCATGTTGTCTCTCTCCCCCTATCTCTCTGTCTCTCAAATAAGTAAATAAAATCTTAAAAAAAATATCCATTTGTTTAAGAATGTTACCCCATATCCTGCTAGAGATCTTATGTAATATATGAAACATACATTACCTTTTAAAATCCACAAAATTCTGAATTCTGAAAACACATCTAACCTAAGGGTTATGGATAATAACTTTATACACACTATTATTTTTAACTGTATGATAAAAGTTCTTTCAACTGTTCTACTTCCTAAAACATCCCTTTCTTATCACACAATATCTTGTCCTTTCCTGATTTTTACAGAAATTAGTCCCCCCTTTCCATTGGTAACTTCTCAAACCTGTAACTACCAAGCTTTCACTGAGTATCATGTGCCAAGGGCAGTGACAAGTTCCTTATTTCCAAAATCTCACAATAATCCCTGTCTTTCATAGTTAGGGAAACTGAATAATTGAGACTTAAAAATATGAACTTGCCCAAGATCATACAACTAGTAAGAAGATGAGACCTAGTCTGGATCCAAGTCTATCTGACTACATTGTTCTTAACTATGGCAAGTCACTGTCTCCACTAAGGCAAACGTGGAAAATGCGTAAGGGTCACATGAGAAATCAAATGGAGTAGGAGGAAGAAAAGTTATTTGTTAAAGATTACTAGAATCGACGTACAACAATAAGAATTCAGGGGAAATATGAGCTGAAGTCATATGTGGTCCTGGGGCCCTGTGATGGAGAATGGGTTGCATAAAGCAAGTCAAGATCCTCAAGCTCACTGTGTCAGCCAACTAATGTAGGTCATATGTAGGTCTTATAGCATTGGGATGCTATAAGAAGAGGAAATAAGGGGAGATGAAGACACCGTGGAGAAATGTAAAGAACGCACAGTCAAAAAAGAAAGGAAGCTTGGAAACCAGTGAGAACACTAAAATAAAAACATAGGTATTGCTCACTTGTTCACCACAAATCAGAAATGTACTAAAAAGTACACGATGTAATAAATGGTCAGGGTTGGGAATTGATGTGACATGGGGAATTTCCATGATTCTGCAATCAGTGTTTCTTTTTTTTTTTTTTTTTTTTTTTTTTATTTATTTATTTGAGACAGAGAGAATGAGAGACAGAGAGCATGAGAGGGAGGAGGGTCAGAGGGAGAAGCAGACCCCCCGCCGAGCAGGGAGCCCGATGCGGGACTCGATCCTGGGACTCCAGGATCATGACCTGAGCCGAAGGCAGTCGCTTAACCGACTGAGCCACCCAGGCGCCCCGCAATCAGTGTTTCTAATAGAATCATTACTGTACGATAAAAATATTAAAAGAAGTAAAAAATACTATAAAAATGATATTATTTAGGGACGCCTGGGTGGCTCAGTCGGTTAGGCGACTGCCTTCAGCTCAGGTCATTATCCCAGGGTCCTGGGATCGAGTCCCACATCAGGCTCCTTGTTCAGCGGGGAGCTTGCTTCTCCCGCTGCCTTCTGATCCCCCTGCTTGTGCTCTCTCTCTCTGACAAATAAATAAAAGTTTTTAAAAAATGATATTATTTAAATATTATTTATACTATTAAAATGTTATTTCATTTATAATTGTGACTCTAATATTTATCTCATTTGCATTCTGGTTTTTAATAACTCTGAGATCATTAAGTTTTGTTCACTAGTATATCTTAATAATTATACCATTAGTACGATGGTGTGATCTGTAAAACCACCCATCATTTTTACTTCATACTATTTAACGCTGGCCAGAGCCTCTATGCAGCAAAATTTGTAGCTCACAGAAAGCAAGAACCCCAACAGAGTCTCAAGCTACCAATCTGTTTGTCCATGAGTCACTTGATGTCTCCCTCATTTTGAACTAACCCTTAGATTATAAAAAGAAGATCTAAGCCAAGAAGGTATCAGAAGAGAGAGCAAAAAAGTTAGTCTTGGGATGCCTGATGTGCATCTGACTTCTTCTCAAATATTCATATCTCCAGTCCCTTTTTTCAGTGCAAACATTGTAAAAGAGACTCACATGTGATAACATCCCCTCCAGTCCTGTAGGAGCCTACAAGCCTCCCTCTTGTGAGGCTGGCCAAATGTATCCATACAGTTTTTAAGGCTGACCTGATTTTGAAGAGATAAAACATAGTACTGTTTCTCTCAAACTCTGGGTATAATACCTTTATAAGTTACTGATATTTTTTCAAACTAACTAGGAAGAAGAACACAGAATTTAACATAGTCTTTGCCTAATCATATTGCCTCAAATTTGAAGGGGGCCTGCCAGATTAACACACAGAATGGTTTCAGCACGTGTGGTTTGAAACAACGACTGGAGATCTTAGAATCACATTCTAGTAGCTTTGCACAAAAAAATGTTCAGATTCACTAATATTGCTTAAAACATAGTGTAGTGCTTCTTTAATGCTTCCTCACTATCTTAATTTTTTTTTAATTTTTTCAAAGTTTTATTCAAATTCCAGTTAGTTAACATACAGTGTGATATTAGTTTTAGGTGTACAATACAGTGATTCAACACTTCCATACATCACCAGGTGCTCATCACAAGTGCCCTCCTTGATCCCCATCACCTGTTTCCCCACTTCCATACATCACCAGGTGCTCATCACAAGTGCCCTCCTTGATCCCCATCACCTGTTTCCCCCCTACCCCCCCTCCCCTCCTCCCCTCCTGCCCTCTGGTAACCATCAGTTTGTTCTCTATAGTTAGGAGTCTGTTTCTAGGTTTCTCTCTCTCTCTTTTTTTCCCTTTGCTTGTTTGTTTTGTGAAATCATATGATACTTGTCTTTCTGTGACAGACTTATTTTGCTTAGCATAAAACTCTTTAGCTCCATCTATGTCATTGCAAATGGCAAGATTTCATTCTTTTTTATGGCTGAATAATATTTCTGTGTGGGTATGTGTGCACACCAAACTGGACAGCAAGATGCAAAAGAATGAAACAAGACCAAGATCACTTTCTTACACCATGCACAAAAATAGATTCAAAATGGATGAAAGACCTAAATGTGAGACAGGAAACCAACAAAATCCTAGAGGAGAACACAGACCTTTTTGACATCAGCCATAGCAACTTGTTTCTAGATATGTCTCCTCACTATCTTTTTAATAGTGCTTAAAAAAACTTCTCAAAGAAGAGAAATAGTAAAGTACAGATATCTATGGCTATCTACCTCCCCTAGAACATTAATAAGGAAATATGCTTATGACAAGTTTTCAGTTTAAAAAGTTTCAGGATAATATGTGTACTTAAGCTTATATTATTAAAATAAAAACAGATATGAATGTTTCTTCCTAAACAGAGAAATAAGTTGAAAAGAATACATAATATTGCATTAGGAATATTAACTTCTGGGAAGCAAAACTGAAGACAGAAAATGAGAAATCATTTTCATCTCCTTTCATCAAATCATATACATCTCCTTTTTAAATTTATTATTAGCCTTTGTAATGTTTATAATTTTAAATATTTTAAAAACCTAATTTAAGGGCGCCTGAGTGTGGCTCAGTTGGTTAAGTGACTGCCTTCAGCTCAGGTCATGATCCTGGAGTCCCGGGATCGAGTCCCGCATAGGGCTCCCTGCTCAGCAGGGAGTCTGCTTCTCCCTCTGACCCTCCCCCCTCTCATGCTCTCTCTGTCTCTATCTCATTCTTTCTCTCAAATAAATAAATAAAATCTTTAAAAACCTAATTTAAAATGTAAACAATAAGACATTGCTGAGTCTCAATTTAGTCTCACGTAAGTTTCCTAGATGAAGAGAAAGAGTACGGCTCATGTACGGACCATAATATATGTACCAAAATACACATCACCCAGTTTAACGATAAGAAAATAAAGTGACCAAATTTGTATGAAAGAACAGATCTGGAGGAATTTCTATTTTGATATCCTTGAGTAAAAATGTTTTCCTTCAAATTATTTGTTCAATATGGCATTGAGTTTTTAAAGTGCTCAAATGACTAATCATTTTATAACAGTCCCACAAA